AGGTCTCCCAGCCTTTCCTCATGAGGGAGATGCTCCAGTTCCTTGATCATCTTTGTAGCCCTCCACTGGACTCTCTCCAGTAGTTCCCTGTCTTTCTTGAACTGGGGAGCCCAGAACTGGACACAGTACTCCAGATGTGGCCTCAACAGGGCAGAGTAGAGGGGGAGGATGACCTCCCTCGACCTGCTGGCCATGCTCTTTTTAATGCACCCCAGAAAAAAAGTTGTAAGCACGGAAATTAAGAAAGCTTATTCTTAATGTCTGCAAATGGGAAACTGGATGTTCTGCAGCAGGATCTTATGTTAGAACCAGGTTGAAAGAAAAAGGACACTAAAACAAAAGAATTGATTGCTTTTTAAGAGGAGATGTCAAAATTATTTGTGTGTAACTCTGTATAAGAAGTGTTTCAACTTTTCTGCCTGATTTTCACTTATTTTTGAGTTGAAGCGGAACTGATTTAAACCCAATGCTGAATAGAAGAATATTGAAGTACTATATTTCAGCTGCATGTAAGGTTTCATTTAGTGTTACTTACAAGTAGGGGTAATGAACAATTTGTCCTGCCTATGGACCTCCAAGAGTTTGGAAGCCTTCTCTTGAGCCAGAACATGAACTCACATAACTGTTATCTCATGAAGTTTTAACTCAGTTTGGCTTTGCAGGCTGTGGACATTGCCTTTAAACATTGACTCCTCTTGGCTTTCTTAACACTGTGTGTGGTAGACCTGGAGTTAGATTAGTAGCTTGGAAGGTTGCTCTTCCTCGTGACTAGTAATCTTCCTATGGGATTTTGATGGGACATCCTCCATCCTGTGTCTGTTCTGAGACTTGTTTTGGGTTGAAAAATGTGAGGGCTGTATTTGTTGTTATGTATTGGTTTTATTTTTTGTCCTTAAGTACCTGAATGAAGATATGTCTGTATCCTTACAACTTATGTGTTTGCATGCAAATCAGAATAGTCCTGTACTCTTCAGTTGCTAGCTTAAACTCACTAGCCAAAGGGAAGCCTCGAGTCTAACCTCTTCCTGCATCTCCTTTTTATCCAGTGGATGTTAGTCAGGCTGGTTATTCACTGGGTTGTCCTTAACTGTCCCTGACTGACTCAGCACTAGCTTCATTTTCTTCTTCCTGAAATACATGATCTGATCACCACAGGCTTTAGGATTTCTTTCTGCTACCTTTTTTGTGGTGTTGCAACATACCCTGTTGATGGCAAATTCCATCTTTATCCTGATCTTGCTCACATCTTTGCTACTTACCCACAGCTTGATTATCCATAGATAAATAATACTGCAGATGTTCTTTACTTGGATTCTTGCTTCAGTCACATCACTCCCGAATTGTACATTGCATAAGACATTCTGTGTTTAAAAAAAAATCTCAAATTCCTTGCATCTGTAGTCTTCTGCTGACATGCCATATTTTTATGCTTTTTTTTCTGTGCTTATTTGTTTGGTGCACTCTGGTTGGGGATGGCGAGTGCATGTATGGTAGCATCCAGTGCAGCTATTGCAGTTAACAGCGAAAGTGGTAGCTGTTGGTTCTGTGCTATGCTGATATCTGTAACGGTATATTACAGTATGCAGAAGAGATGTAAATTCAGACCTGCTATATGGTGCTGGAAAGGTGTATTTTGGAAGTGGCAGGGAGAAAGAAATCTGGATGGTGGGGTTCTGTGTTTTGAAGTGATTGGATGCAATGAATACCAAGCAAATAGCCCCTTTTTGTTTTGCGTTTGCATACAAGTACTTAACTCTGTTGAGACCACCCAGCTCCGAATTCAACTTAAAAAAAAAAACAAACCACAACAGCGAATGTGCTGGCATGCCTCACACTTCTCTTCTGCAAGAGAAAGCCTAGCTTGATGTCCAGCTTTCCAGGTGTGGAATTAAGACCCAATTGTAAAGTTGTGCTGCACCCAGCAGTTCCGATTTGTTTTTGAGAACATTGAGTTTTGCCGAGTGTTTTGGAAAATGGACAGATGTAAACTTCTGAACACACCCATTTAGATCCTTGAGTAAATAACTCTTAACTCTTACGATCAGCACAGAGGAACTGTAATGGGCAGGTTCCCAACCTGCAAGTTTATCTTGGAGATGCAGGCTCTTTTGCTTGCTTTCCACTCTGGTTGTAATAAGATTGAGAAACTGATAGAGCTCCTGATTCGCTATGCTGTCATCAAAGTGCAGAGGTAATCCTATACTTTATTAATGGCAAGACTACCCATAGATAGCATAGTATAAATTATAACAGCTCTGTTGTAAGAGGAAACTTAAAATAAATTGTTTCCAAAATTTTTATTTTTCCTCTAGCTTTCTTGCATCAGCAAATATTGAAGATACTTCATCTGTCTGGAGGAAAAGCTGAAATCAGTAGAAATGCTGATTTAGGATTTCAGGCAAAGCATGTCTGCTAAAATTTTATGGTATTTCCGTTACAATGGAGACAAAGCATAGTTTCCAGACTGCAGAACAAACAACGTTCGTTACACCTTATTTTGACCATCTATTAACAATCCGTGTTGCCCAAGCATGAATATCAAGGTCTCAGTTAACATTTAAGGGTGTGGAGTGGATGGGGTGTAGTTGCTAGAGAGATATGAACACCAACATCAAAGATGAGGATGAAGGGCTGTGAAGCTATGGAAGAAGATACAGTGGGAATTGTGAGTACAAGGAACTAACTGAAAAGAGCAGATATATACTGGCAGCTCTCTTTGGTTGTAGCATGATCTGGAGAGAAGAAAGATTGGAAAGCTTTCTAGAGGAGGACATTATTGTAAAGATGTATAATTTCCTATCGTGTTAGTATGCTGAGTGATTAAATTGAGGTTTGGTATCTAGTGCCTTTGAATTGCCTCCAAGGGTACCTTTTGTTTAAAATACCTTTATTTTTTTTATGTTTTGGAGCAGAGTAGAGGCTATGGACACAGAATGAATTCTTCTATGCATTATGCCATGGTATCTCAACTTTCTTTTTGATGTATAAATTACAGTCCACTTAGTAAATAAAATAGATTACTCATGGTAACTATGACTAGTTAGACAACTTTGCCAGAGCTATTCCAGAGGATGTCCAGTGGCTTTTGAAAATCCTATTAAAAGATTTTATTTGCACATGATACAGGGAGGATAAAAATCCCAACAAACAAATAAACTATGACACATGGTGTATCTTATTGCTGCCTCTTTTGTCAAGGGCAGCTTACTCTTGAGGTGCAGCTATAGCTGAAATTTGTCTCTGCTATTTGTAAATGAAAATAAATCTCTAAAGAATTGAGAGTTCATAGAGTCAAATTAGGAATAGGAAGCATTAAGCTTTACATATCTTATGAATTACAGATTATGCTAATTATAACAATATAAATCTCACAATCTTGTTGTAAATGTTAAGTTTGAATAGTGTGGTAGTTTTAAGTATGAACTGCCAGAATCAGAAAACAATTTTGTTGAATTAGTGTAGTAGAGTGCGTAATGTGACCTTTCAGCACCTCTCACTACTGATTATTGAGTAAAATAAAAACAAGTTTGACTGTTCAGAACTCAGAGTGAATTTGGACAATTTGATGAACAATATAAATATAACATCTTCAAGTGGAACTTCCTTAATACAGGATTGCAAAAATAGCACAGGATTCCCCTGTGCAAAGACAGGCGTCTTAGAAAACTAGTTTTTGAAGCATGGTGCATGCAGGATTTTGTTTATGTTATATCCAGTTTGTAGTTTACTAATTCTATTATTTATAGAGGTTCCTTTGTGCTTGTGGATTAACAATGTTATGAATATTTTGCTAGTACCACATGAGTTATGTGCTGTAGCTTTTTTGATAAAAATCTGCAAAAGTACATGCTGGAGATAAAAGCTGTTGACATTTTTCCAACCATTCTGTTTTAATTCAATACTGACATTTGCTACCTTGTCAACAAAGTCTTGAACATGCTTCAAAGTCTTCAGATGAAAAAGAAACTCAAAATTCGAATAGGTTACCCCTTCTGCTCTGTCTCTGAGAGCTGTTCTGTATTCTATGTATATCAATCTCCTTTTCTTCCTCAAGTATGAAAACAATGTGTGTGGTTATGGGGTCTTAGTAGGCATAAGTGAACAATTAGTATTTAGGAACTAATTGAAAAAGCTTGTCTGTGCAACTGTGTATTATTAAAAGTAGCTATAATCAATATTTTTGTTATAATAACCAAATTCCGATAGGGTGATTGATTTTGTGCTTAAGCCAATGTTCACTCTTTTCTTAAAAACATTCTTTTCTTAAAAGCATTTTGCCTAGATGGCAAAATGAGTGTTTTTGGCAGACTTTAATTATCTTAGCAGTGTATACACACTTGAGCAATTTTACCTCATGAGCAGCAAACTATTTGTATTGCTTATAACTGCCTCTTTAAACTTTGCAATAGAGCCTCCATCATTGAGTGTTTCAACCCTTAAGTACAGGATTTTCCTTTCTGGCACCTGGGCAATACTGACTAGGGATTTTGTTGCTGAAATGTTAAGCTCAGCTGCCTATTGGCAGGTAGAGAACCGTTCCTTTAACAGCAATTTATCACTTCCTCTCTACTTCCACTCTTTGTTAAACCTGCCAGTAGTGTTTTAAAACTTAGGAGCTTTTGAAAAGTTTAACCTTTTATCCTTCTTGGAAAGCAGATTACTGGAAGGTAGCTGTGAAAGACAGCAATAGCAGATACTGCTGATTCATGCCATTATCTTCTCTTTCCTGCTAATAGGAAAAATAATACCCTGTTTTATGGATAAATACATGTAAACTCCTAGACAAACTGTCAATCTAGCCTCTGGTGGAGGTACTTTTGAAGTGCCTTTCATAAGCCTTACTCTTTAAGTTTTTTTGGCCAAGTTCCTTCAGCCATATCGGAGTCTAAAGAGAATTCTTGCTGGATGTTAATGCCCTGGAGAATAGTTTTCTGCCTTTTTCTGTTATGAGCAGAGACAAATAAGTGTTGTTAACCTCATCTCTCTCTTCTTAACACAAGAGCTCTAAGCGAGAGTGGAAGCCTTTGGAGGACCATAGCTGCACAGATGTACCATGGCTGCTCTTATTCATCCTCTTCTGCATAGGAATGGTGAGTAAACCTCAAAGGATTCTATGAATGATATATTGTTGTAGAGTTCGCATTCATTAGAAAAAAGTTTTACAGCTCTTCATTCACTTAGCCACTGGGTATACTGGCATGGGGTCTGTCATCTGTGGAACAGAAATGGGTATTATGTGCACATCAAAGGCCTTTGGTAGGGATCCATAACTTATTGTTTGTGTCACTTCCTGCTCCAGCTTCTCTTCCTCTGAAACTCTGGTTTCATATGTAAATGTTTTTCGCCATGTCGAGGTATTCCTAGACTCGTGTTCCTTATGTGACTGTGGAAGTCCCAGAAATTTTAGATTTGAATCTGATAAACAGTTCTGTGAATCAGCCAACATTTTGTTGAGAAATAAAGATTCTGAATATAAAACAGTTGACTTTTCTTCTTGGGTGCTTAGTAGAGGCACCTGCTGTTAACAACCATATTACTAATAGTAAAATCTTTCTTTCTGAGTTACCCCAGCTTTGTCCTGTCTGATGAAACTGTCCCCTTGCTCAAAACAACCTGATGAAACTGTGCACTTTATACTAAAAAACAAACCTCCAAGACATGCAGATTACTGAAAACTAGAAATATGCTTCTTTTCATCTTGTGTTGTTTTGTGGATTTATATATGATGTTCTTGCTAAGCAGAGACTGTCTGCCACTGTCTTGTACTGCTGTGTTGCAAGCAGTAGCCCACAGGACTTCGGGAGTTCTGTGCTGTCAGCTTTCTTTTCTACTGTCCCTTGGTCTCTGGTCTTTGGAAATATTCAATTTTTTTTTTCTTTCCCCAAAGTGTTTGTCACTGGCTGCACTTCAAATGTAAAGACGATGCTTTTTTGTTTAAATCCTACAAATTATGTTCTCACTGTAATGTGAATATCTTAAAAATCTTAAAAAACACAGTACTTCCTGAAGCAAGCAGGGTTTTTTTTTGTGGTTATCCTGCCTTTGTTGGTGTTCCTTACTTACTCAGTCTATACCTACCTGTTTCCCCAATTATAAATTAGTCTGCTGTGGGTTAGTGTCCCAGATTTTTCTATCTAAGCAACATAATATACAGAGCAATTATCCTGTTGGGTCAAGTACTCAGTTGGTACTTCAAGTGAAGTAGTAACTATGATGGGTCAGGAGGGCATCCCTACGCTGTTGTAAATGAGATTAGATGGGAGAGGAGTTACGTGTTTTCCCTTACCCAGTGTGTAGGGAAAAAAATACTGAACCAGCCAAGAACCTGAGTACTATTGTATGTAAAATGTATGCTAGTATGTCCTTCACAGAATAGTAAGGGATCTGAAAAATTGAAAGTGAATTCTGGAAATCGGCTTTAATTATTGCTTGTGATAGCCTTTTGCTCACTTTGTCCTTGTTTTTCCACTTTGAGCATTAAGTCTATAAGTGCATTAGAGCATTGGGCAGAGAAGGATAATGACCAGCTTGCTGTCTGGAACTTCTCTATAGTGATAGCCGGTCTGTCAGAGAAGGTCACGGTCCTGTATCTTTGGCCCTTTGAAACAACCTACATTTTAACTGTTCTGTGCTGACTTTGTTACCTGTTATCATCTCATCTGGTCCTGTCACTGCCATCTGTTGCTCCATGCGTTTGTCTCAGCTGTTTACTCTGCTTCACCTTCTCAAATCTTAACTTGCCTCGTGTAAAAAACAGTTCATTAGTGGTAGCAGAGTGGTTGACTTCTCCCCATCAGTGGTGCTGCTAGAGAGATAATGACTCTTTTGGGCCAGCCTCCTATTGATATCATCACTGCCTTATCTTAGCTTTGCTAGTGAATTGTCTCTGAAAGTTCACAGCAAGACCTGCCTGACGTGGATATTTTTCCATGTTATTCTGAATCATTTTGCATTCTTTTGCTCTGTATCTGTTTTCTTCCTGTATTTGAACCCAGCACCTGGAACCATAGCGATCTTGACCTGGCCACTTGCTTTAGAGAGTTTCCTTGAAAGAAATTTATGTCAGATAGGCCTCTTCATTCTAGCTCATCTTTGAAAACACGTAATTTGAAGGAAGAAAATAAAATCTTAAGAAAATCTGGATTGTCTGGAATCTTCTAAGATGCATACTAACCCCTGACAACTCCAGCTCTGCTTGTAGCTCTCCTTCACTTGCCTGTCTTTGACCTCATCCACGACTTGCTGCCAATATGATTCTCAAAAAAACAACCTACAAGGTTCTTAACACCCCTTGTAATATGCACTGTTAGATGTCTGAAGTCTCTTTATGTCTTGTGTTGAATTTTATAATTGCACAGTGATTCTCCATGGAGGGTTCTTGTCTCACCTTCTTTGGTCTGAAAGAATTTTTAAAAATACTCTGCTAAGAAACAAATGAACTAAACTGACTTTTTCCAGCTGTCAAAGAGAGTATTACTAAACTGTGGGATTCTCTTTTCCTCCAGGGTTTTATCTGTGGCTTTTCAATAGCTACAGGAGCAGCTGCAAGACTGCTTTCAGGATATGACAGTTATGGAAATATTTGTGGACAGAAAAATGTCAAGGTGGAGGGAATAAGCAACAGTGGTCTGGACCTCACACACAAGAAGTGAGTATGTGATTCAAATGCTTTATTCTGTAAGCCAGGAAAGGCAAAACCTTTTTTCCTTTGAGAGTGGTTTTCAATAAAATGGGAAACGGGATAGGCTGCCTCATTGCTACTTGTTCTTCTCCACTCTTTTATAGAATAACAATCTTTTGTAACAACCAGCAACAGTACTTGGAGAGTGTATGTTGACAGATGTGCAATATGGATAAAGCTAAGTCATTGAAGAATTTCCCTTTCTTAGCATCCACTTCATGTAGGAGATTGTATGAGGCCACTGAAGAGTCTCGTTAGTTAGAATTTTAGGTATGACAAGTGTTCTCAGATTTGAGAGCAGGCCTTTGATATTTATGTGGAAAAGGTTTGCTTTTGATGTTTTATTCTCAGTTTCTGCCACTGAGTCTAGGGGGAGGTGGGCCATATCTGACAAATTAAAATGAGACTTAGAAATTTAAACTGTAAGCAGGATATATAGAAGTTGCTTGTGGAGAAAATGCACAAAGCATTTAAGCAGTGTCATGTGAAAACACATGCTTACAGGTCAGAACCACCTTAGGTATTTCCTATCACGCAGTAAAAAAGCATACTGCAGTAGTAGTACTGGAGCTGAATAACAAGAATTCTGGACTGAAGGACTGAAAACCTGTGAACATCTGTTGAGGACTGTCTGCTGGTCAGTGCTCAGAATGCATCTGTGGAACTTGGATGACTTTAGAAAGTAAACTACTTAGTCGAACCTTAGAACAGTGGTATTAATTTCAAAAAGGATGATTCTTTCACTGTTGATTGCTCCAAAGAACTAAAATATCTATAATTTCTGAGTATGATAGCCTTTTACTTCACAGTTGACTTTCAGACTAACAGAAAATCTGTAATTTGCGTGAATTATTTCAGAAGGATGCTTTCCTAAGATCTGCTTACTTTGAGTTGCTATGGTAAAGATTTCTAAATAACTGATTTAAGATTTAATGTGGCTTGGTAATTGGTGTGTTATCAGAAGAATTTTACTTAAATAAAATAGCCTTTTTCTTCTGTCAAAAGGATAATTTCTTAATCTAATTACAGTTTCCAGGAGAGTTGAAGAGCTTAAAAATTATGCAGCATAATTTTCCAGATTTTATATAAATCTTTTTAGCGCTTTCTAAATCATGTATGTTCTATACAAAATTGTATTTCTAGTGTTGTGAGAGAAAATACAATATTTAAAATTATAATTTTATACTTGCTCACCTTTAGAAAGAAATGGTGTCTAAGTTTGTGTGAAGGCAGAGAAACTCAGACACCTTATTGAAAGGTAACAAAATGGTGCAATTCTGTCTCCTTCATGACAGAAACCAGGCCATCACGAGGAGAAACATCTACCACTACTAAATGATTTCCCTTTGTAAAGGCAATATTGAAAGACAGCAAATAAAAATAGCTTCAATTTTTAATACAGGCTTTTTAACACAGAGCCCGTTGCTTGTCGAAGTTCTAATAAGGTTCAAAAAGATTATGTTTTCTTAATAAAGATATTCTGGCTTGAGGCATGAGCTAAGGAAATGAATGAATGAACTAATATGGGATATGATCATCTCTGTTTGGTTGAGACTGAGAGAAAACTTTCTGCCAAGGCAGATTATCCTGCAACTGTTCAGAGTGAAGTACAGTTAAGGGTACCCAGCTTTGGAAGAGGCCAGTTCTTACATAAGCGAATGATCCTTCCCACTCCTGCACCCTACGGCTTTTTAAATTTGTTTGGCAGTTTTTCAGAAGAAACTATCTGCTTTGCATCTGTCTCTAGCAGATGGAGTTTCTGCAGTGTCTGAGGTGCAGTTCATAGGAGTATTTAATGCTACCTTATAGGAGTAGTTCTCAGACGGACTGTAAAAATAAACTTTTCTTAAGGCCTGTACATTTCAGTTTGTGTAGAGAAAGAAGGGGCTTTAAGCTCTACATATGTGGTTCTGGAAACATGAAGTTCTTGTTTCATTCTGCTTGCAGGGTAATTCTGTCTTCGTTTCCCAGTCCAAAGCAGAAAAGTTAAATCATCTGTAAAAATAACGCTTTCTTCCCTGTAAATAACAGCAACCCATAGGCACTGTAATGAGAAAGTGAAATGGATGTGGTCTGAGTGGTAAAGGTGTGGAGCACAGTCCTCATAGGGGTAAGATTTGATCTGTGTGCATCAGTTATGCTGAAACCAGTGAAAAGAACAGAATTTTTTATTTTTACAAATAAAACACAATGTGCTCTGGAGTCAAACATGAGATTATAGTCTAGTCTTGGCAGTGAACTCTCATTAAATGTATCTGTTTCAAAAAAGGTCCGTCCTTTTCATGTTTTGGCAGTTATAAGTGGGTTAAAAAATGACCTTTTATTTGTAAATAAATGATGGCTCTGGCAGCCAAATATAAATCTCTGAAGTGCTAGTTCAGTCTGATTTTTAATTTTTTTGTTGTTGTTGTTGATTCTTTGCTGCTTGGACAGAATTCATGTACTCAAGTGTAAGAAGATATGTATAGGCTGCTGTAGGGGAGAGTTAGGGTAGCGTTCCACCTTAATAAGTGCCTTTGACTCAGGAAAATGCTTGGAGTTTAGGTTTTGCAGAAACCCAGTGAGAGATTGCAGCAGGCATGTGAAGAATTTGAGTGAAACTGTACATGCCCTACCCATAATTTGTTTAGAATGCATGTGATCACTTAATTCACTTCTCCATTATTGCCATAAGATGCTTGCAGATCACAGCAAATGATTTTTCTGTAAAGTACCTTTTTGCCTATAAAAAGATGTGTTGAGGGCTGACAAAGCCAATGACCGGGCAAATGTGTGAGTGTATAAAATACTTGAAGGTAAGATGCTCTTGTTGGAATGATTTGGCACCATGCTTTCAGAATCAAGGTGTAATGTATGAAATGGTGATGCTTGATCCTCCTGGTTTTGCAAAGGAAGAGGAGACTGCTGCATTTCCCATGGGCATGTATAGGTAAGAGGACACTTGTCTAGTAAGCTACCAGTCAGAAGCCAAAATTGCTGATGATTTTTTTCGTTTTTAACCTGTTGTCATTTTGAAATTATACTTTGAATTACTTGCCTAGAAATCCATATTTTTCTTTCAGAATTGAAAAAAGAAACACATTGAAATATAAGCTCAAATATTAAGGCATAAGGAAGGTTATCCTATAGATCCATAAAAAAATTCTGTGATGCATTTTGAAAAGCTGAAGTTCATTTTGAATTACACGCCTTGGGATAGATAACTTCCTGTTAATCTTGTTTTCAGACGCAGTGGCTTTTGAAAAGTTAAATGACCTCTTTCCTTATTTTCCTTTATGTATATGAATCAGCTTAAAATTAAGGATGAGCTTTAAATTTCCAATTTTTATTATAGTTACAGAGGTAGACATATTAAGAATTATATGTAGTTATTTTTACTCATGTAACTTTTTCATCACCCATAATTCAAAGTTTCTTTTTGATTTTTCAGAAAGTGGATTAAAACCAAAGAATCACAGAAGCATAGAATGGATTTGGGTTAGAAGGGACCCTTGAAGATGATCTAGTCCAAACCCCCCTGCCCCGAGCAGGGACATCTTTAATTAGATCAGGTTGCTCAAAGTCCCATCCTTGACAGGCCTTGAACACTTCCAGGGATGGGGCATCCACAACTTCTCTGGGCAACCTGTTCCAGTGTCTCACCACCTTCACAGTAAAGAATTTCTTCCTTATGTCTACTCTGAATCTACCCTCTTTTAGTTTAAAACCATTACCCCTTGTTCTGTTGCAATAGGCCCTACTAAAAAGTCTGTCCCCTTCTTACAAGCCTCATTTAACTATTGAAAGGCCACAACAAGGTCTCCCCAGCCTTCTCTTCTCCGGGCTGAACAACCCCAGCGCTCTCAACCTGTCCTCATAGGAGAGGTGCTCCATCCCTCTGATCATTTTTGTGGCCCTCCTCTGGACCCGTTCCAACAGGTCCATGTCCTTCCTGTACTGAGGACCCCAGAGCTGGATGCAGTACTCCAAGTGGAGTCTCAGCCGAGCAGAGGGGCAGAATCACCTACTGGCCACACTTCTTTTGGTGCAGCCCAGGATATGGTTGGCTTTCTGGGCTGTGAGCACATAGTCAGCTCATGCCCAGCTTCTCATCCACCAGTACCCCCAAGTCCTTTTCAGCAGGGCTGATGCTGCATAAAGGTGACTGAAGATGCTTCCTGGGTTGTAGATCTGATACACTGAATTTCCAGCAGCAAACAAATTTTCATTTGCAGTGTTGAAGCATCTCTAACAATGTGATTATTTTGTTTACTTCAGTCTTTGTATTGCCAATCTAAGTTACTTTCTTAAGAACAAATTAGTCTATTGTGGATTCTGAATAACTGAAATTGCAGCAGAAAGCATGTAAGTACATTCTTCTAGTGAGAAACAAAATTTGTTGTGGTAACACAGTATGGAATTTTCTGCAATAAAATAACTTTCAATAAATCATAGGTTTGAAAACAAAAACCAAAATACCTTTTCCTCTGTAATACTTGTGCCTGTTGGCAAAATACTGGTATTTTGATTCTTGTTTTAGCTCCCAGAAATTAAAAAAAAAAAAAATCTTCTGTCTTCTTAGACCATAGATTGAAGCCACAGATTTGATATCTTGAAGTTTGCTTTGCAGCTGCCTCATTGCTGTCAGAACTGTCTTTGAACCATGCAATGCTGTATTTGAGTTACATGTGTCTGTTTAGGGTATGCCAACAGAGCACACTTCTGTCAAAACTGCATATGGCAATATAGTTGCATTGTGTCTCTAAATTTCCAGGCTTGAGTTAAAACTGTCATTTTTGTTTTTTTTTTTTTTATAAAATATTCTCATTTCTTCTGTCCCTTAAATTACAGCTTGGTCCTTGGGTTTAAATGACTGTAGGGAGTGGGTTGGATTCTAGATTGTTAATGCCGATGTTCCTGACTCGGTTTCCATAGCTTCCCTCAGTTATATATGTTAAGGGATGTTTGGAGAAACTTCTTGCCCAGCCACTCGAGCCAAGCCCAGTATGCCCCAGGACCCAGGGTCTCTGCCTGGGCTGAGGGCCATGGATGGACAGACACACACAGGACGCTGACGTGGCTGGATACGCAGGCTGGCCTTCAGCAGCACCCACATTCAGGACACACATCACACACAGGCCCAGGCAGCCATGTCTCCTCCTCCTCCTTGTTGGGTTGGCAGACAGAAGGTCACTAGTGCAGGCACACATGCGACACTCTGGCTTCACAGTCACCTTCACATTTGTGGATGCCCCACGTACCAACACACCACCCCTGCCCCAATCCTGGGCCCTATTTCCTGCCCCATGGGTCCCCTCTCCTTGGCAGCTGGTTCAGCGTGGTGCTTGTTAGTGAGCACAGGCCCCCCACAAAACGGTACTAGGGAGTAGTAATTCTTGCATACTGAGACTGGATAATAGAACCATCTTTGCATGGGGGAGAGTTAGCAATTGGCATGTAGACTGAAAGCATTCAGGCAGCACCTAAATGCTCTCTGAGAGCAGAAGGGATTTTTATTGATTACAGAAAGAAGTCCTATTGTGAGGACTGCAAAAATAGAAATGGCGTTTTATATGGTGGTTTGGTGTTGTTTTCCTGTGATGTTGGATAACATGAAGAGAGTATTTTAATGCCTAGCATATCACCAGAACCGTAGGAATTTGAAAGACTTTAACTTCAGAATAAAAAAAACATTCTGCATCTCTTATACCATGAATGGTCAATACTATATATGGTTAACATTTGTGATGAAATGTGTATAGCCAGGAGAAGACGTTGGCTTGGAAGCTATAATACATATCACAAACTGGCTTTTTAAATGGCAGTGACTCATCATATAGAATCTCTTTAAAATACTGCACTTTAACATTAGATAGGTCTACTTGAAATGTCTGAACAATATTTATTTCAAAAGAAATACTACAGTAATCTGCTCAGTCATACAGACCTGTGGTGTGAAAAATCATTCTAAACCAAAACACTGTTCTGGTATTATGTGTATTGATTAAAATAGCCACGGACTTTGTCTTTTTTGCAGCGTAAGTATAACCTTACAGGATTTGTTGGGTCTTTTTGGAAAATATCAGAAATCCTGAAGTCAAGTTTAAGGTCAGAGTGCATCTTTGGTTGTGAATGTTTAGACCTATGAACAGTACCATTTGAATGGACTTGAATCTGGTAGAGTTAAACATCCTTTCTGTGTGATCCAGAGATATATAAATATCCATATATTTGTTGTGCATATGAGTACCCAGATTCTCTTGACCCGTGCAGTTATGGTAATACCAGTTTTCCTGTGTTTCTGGGTAGACTGAAGGTTAATTTTGGCTGAATCCTTTAGTTTGAAATGAAAGTCATAGAGTACTCAAGTCAGAAGGGACCCATAAGGATCATCAAGTCCAACTCAAAACCTTTATTGTGTTCAATGTAATTTTTAATTAAAATAGAAGTAACTTACCTCTTTTCTTTCATAGGTATGTGTTCTTCTTGGATCCATGCAACATTGATCTAGTACATCAGAGGATCAAGTCTCTTGCTTTGTGTGTATCAGCTTGCCCAAGGAAAGAACTAAAAACTCTGGCTGATATTCAGAAATTTGCCGAAACTAATGGTATGCAAAAAGCATGTTTGTTTTGTTCAGATACTAGATATTTTCATAGGATTAAAAAAAACACTTGTGCATTATCTGAACTAAAAATAAAATATGTGTTAAGAAATATCAATAGAAACAATGTGATATTTTTATTAAGCTAAAACTTTATTAAATCTTACAATATTAAAATGCTTCTGTTCTGTCATGTCCTGGTCAGCTTGGAAAGCTCATTGTTAAAACAGGAGTACAAAGTGTAACGAGAATTTGAGGCAATGTCTAATTGTAGAGTATGTTCTCAACTCCTATGGAAATGTTCTGATGTTGCCGCTAAATAATAACGCTATTGAAGTGTCCTCACGTGTACGGGGCTAGTGAGGGCAATGCTGCTCTTGATCTGTGCTTGCAGCATGGAGCATGGCTGTGGATGTGAAAGTATTCCTGCTTTCATTCAGTGCTACAGTGCAATTCCTGTGGTTTTTTGTTCTCTTACACTTTCCTTTTTTAAAGAAATGTGCAGGAAACACTGTATGGAATAAAATGCACAAGAGGTAATCAACTTTTGGATGCTCTGAAAGAGAATAAAGTTAAGAATTAAAACACTTCGACAATTTTGAGTTTCTTAGCTGTTCAAGTGGGAACATTTTGTCTTAAACTTTCCCACTTAATCTTTGCGGTAAGATTTGTTTGCAAGATACTTGGCCAATGATGAGTCAGTCTGGTCAAGTTCAAAGGAGATCATTTTCTTTAGAAGGAAATGAAAAGCTGATTTCTGTTCTGGTACAGGTTATGTGAGTGCTTTTTGTCTGAAAGCAGGGTGTATTGTTGTGGCCCTAGGACCCCTGGTTCTTCCACTGCATTGTGCCTGCACACCTGGGTGTCTGAATCCGGGAGCTGAAGTATTGCCTGGGGCTGCACAAACAGGGATGCCAGCAGAGTGCAGTGGGTGGGCTGAGAAACGGGAGCTTTCTCCGGTGATCTGTGCACTGCTGGCAAGTACGAGCCCACAGCAAAGCCAGCCAGTATTGTAATACCATTTACTCGTTACCCCTTAACCAGGCATGACGAGTTTTTCTTAGCTGAGCAGGCCAGTTATTTGTTGTTGTGAAGTGAAGGTCATCAGTAGGGGAGTTTCTTAAGTACTTCTTGATATAATGAAGTGCAGTCATGCCTTACTGTACCACCACCGTTGTTTCTATGTTTATAAGTCAAGTCTCTTATTAACTGTGCCTGAAACACGTTCAGCGTAGCCGTCTTTCAAAGCACACCAAAACCCACTCTTCCTAAAACATGCTATGCCTTGTCCTCATGATTCTTCGTTCTATCTTTATTTCCCTTACTGGTTTAAGTTTTAAAACCCTAAAGTTTTAGGTTTTAAAAGCCCAATTTTTTAAATTAATATCAGAGTGAATGGCTTCACTTTACAGCAAGCTTGGTGAAAAGTATGAATCTTAGTATTAAAGCAGAACAGAGTAATTAATTAGTTTAAGTCCTAATTTTCAATATATGACGTCTGGCTTGTCAAAAATAGGTACTAAACTGACCTTTCCTTTTGTAGATGAAGACTGGAGTCACATGGTTCTGAAAAGTACTGTAATCACCAGAGTTATGTTTCTGTTTAAATGTACACTAACCTGTGCAGGTTCCAAAAAGTGATGGTTTGCTGCAAATTAACAGCTTAAGTATTCATCACCTTAAATGTTGCATACATACAGTAGAAGTTAAAGCATAATTCAGCCTTACAATAAAGCAAGAACGGTGAATTAATACCAAAACTGTAGTACTCAGTAAACAGAATAATTTTTCTGAGAGCCACTTTGTAACTATGATAGTGGGTTTAAATGAATTAGTACTAGGATTATATTTGGCAGTTTGTTTCAAGTGATCATAAACTCCACTGTAAAAGGAATAATAAGGAAATCTGAGGCCTTTGAATACAACTGCAGTGAGCTTAATTGCGATTTCTGTTTGTGATGATACCTAGTTAGAATTTAAAGTTCAACTGTCAAGTTCTGAAGGAGGAGGGCAAGACATACATGCTTAATTTCAATGATGAATTCTCCAGTCTTGCTCAAGAAGAAATGCTTAATATTTTAAATACATGGGTAGAGAATGCAGTCAACTCTTAATTTTGCTCTGCTGAGCCTTTGTGAAAGCTTTAACCCTTCCTGCAACCTGATAATAGCAGTTGTGCTGTAGGTAGGCTCTGTGTAGATAGCTGCACGTACATTTGAAAAGTTAGCCATTTCTGCCTGGCTCACATGCCGTTCCTGAAATCACTTTACTTTTAAATGTATCTTGGAATTCTTTCATGAGTTACTGTTTGAGCACTCTCCCATCCCAAAGAAATATTTTGTTGTGCCTCAGCCTGTCAAGAGGTGGTATGGTAAGTGCATTTTTTTAACTAAGCATCTTTATGAAAAGATGTGACACAGTAAAACAAAGTACAATATCTTTATATTGATTAATGGTTTTATCAATACCAGGTATAATCTTCCAGCTAGCTTAGCATTTATGGTACCGTCCCCAAAGTGGGACAGCACTTAATTGCCTGTACACAAAATGACAGAACTGCCAACCCATACGGTTCAGAGCAATTATGGCAGAGCTTGCTTTTATTGTGCAGTACAGCTTGTATTTTTCTGTAAGCAAGATTATAAATAAGCATTTGGGGCAGAGAAAATGCTTGCTTGAGGCTTGAAGATCATTTCATAACAAAGCAGCCTTTTGGCTTCCTGAATCAGTAATGATGCACTTGCTAATCTGCTGTAATTTGGGAAAAGAGCTGATTTGATGAATAATGATGCACTATTTCAGGACAGTAACTTCACTCCCAGTTCAACCTCACGTGCTCCCCCACAGTCAGGTCCTGCATTTCCAGCACCTTTCCATCTAAGAAAAGGAGACGTCTGCCCCCCTCGCAAAGCCTATCTGATTTTAGGAAACAAGAAAGTGTGTTCAGAATCTTGGCATCTTTTGCAAGAGGAGAAGAAATGGAAGGGAAAAGCTGAGCAATCAGCCACTCAGATCTTCATTCTGTACAAAGGTGCAAGTTGTGAAGTACAGGAATGTTCTGGAGCAACTCCTGGAGGTGGTGCAGAAACATGCAGCGTTGGCTGAGAACATTTTCTCATGTTGATCCCACACAGCCATGCCCATACTTCAGTTTGTAGAGCTATGGACTGGACACAACTGAGCATGTTATACATTGTGAACTGGCTGCTGCTAGCATCTCCAGGATTTTCTCATCCAGCAGAACACCTCAGACAGGGAGTACTTGGGATTCAGTGTTTTTGTTGGTCTTGGCCAACAAAAAGGATGTACTCTGAGTAATGTGACTGAAAGCTGTTTTGTTTCTTTTTTTTTAAGAAGGCTAATTGCTGCTTCAAAACATAATGTCCAAGGAATACTGCACTGCTCTTTTCAAGGTCTTACCAAATGATTTTGAAATATGCTTGAAGATATAATTCATAAATGACTGACCAAATTAATAATGAAATGTCATTATTAAAAAGAAACACTAAACAGATGGCCACAATTTCTTTCGTGTTCAGTGCAGTGATAACTGTACTGACTGGTCATTGTGGAAAGTAATATTTCTATCTGTTTTCTAAATAACTGCATGCAGATTTAGGAACCAAAAATGAAATTAATATTTTACAACGTGATGGTAGGCATCTCAGTTGTCAGAATTCTGTAGCTAGGCCAGGCTAGTTGAGGTCTGTGTGGACTTAGAGCTGGAGGTAAAGCTAGATTAAGTCTGCTACGGAGACTGACCTGAAAGAAATCAATAAAGGAAATCAAGCTGTCTGAGTCAAAGCAGGTCATCTCTCTGATGAGGAACCATAGGGGAAACAAAAAAAGGATTTTTCTTTTGTCTGAAGAAAATGACATCTTCATGTGTAGTAATCAAAGTACATCTTTGCAGAATACTGTGGGTACTTGCCTTAGAAATACTTGTCACATTAGTTGCTGCCAGCTTCCAACATTTTTATCCTGCTCCAGTGTTGTGTATTCCCCCCATCCCACTCACTCCTTGACTTTGTTTTTAGTGGAAGTGTGCTGGTTAGGGCTTAATCCTTTACTCATGGTTTTCCTGAGCTCTGGTGTACCATATTAGTTGTGGGTATATTATGATTAAGGAGACTCTGCATCACTAGGTCTTTGGGAACCTTGATGTGTTAATTCGGTGAGTGTAATTTTTTTGAATGGCTGGAATAAAAGTACAGTATGACTCTGACATATGGAGTCATCCACTGCTACTCTGCCTTGTTACCAGAACTGCCTGTCAGGGTTGTCTTGTGTAGGAAACAAACCCTTCAGTCAGAATGAAATAATTTTCACAACAGCAAGTGGCTGCACGTGGAGTCCGCCAGTAATATTGTGTTATTGATTATATTAATAAACCATTTGGGAAGGGGGAGGAACACTGAGGTAATAAATCTTGCTGCAGCTACTGAATTAGAATTACATGAAAAAAATATGGTATCAGTTACAGTGGAACAAAATGTTAAATGCAAAGGAATGCCTGCAGAAGGAAGTGGTGGGGGGAAAAAAACCAATGTTGTGCATGCATCATTTTACTTTAAAATGGTTAGAGCTAGTTGGGAAAGAGATCATGAAGCCACAGAGGATAGTGACAGGATTTAGGTGGAGGCACATCACTGTATGAGTGTGTAATGTTTATTAGTTTTGAAGAGAAAAGAGGCACTGTATTTTGTCTCAGTTCATGCTGTATTGGGATCATAAAGGCTCTGTTCTGGTCCTTCCTTGGCAAAGCGTTTTCTTAACTTTTTTTTCATATTATGTGTACACATACTGAGAAGGCAAACAACATGATCAGAAGGAAAGACCAAGGATTCTTTTGCTAGAGAAAACTATCAGGACGAATAAGGTCTTCAGAAGCGGGAATAGCTTAGAGAAGTTTAAAGAATTTGTATTACTTGATCTCATAAGTTGAGTAATATGAAACTAGAGGTCAGAAAAGAAATTATTAGGCATCAAAGGGCCAGGTTTTTTTC